GGGAGGCATCGCGAATGTGAGGGCTCTCTCTATGCCCTGCGGAATGATTACTGCCTAGCAGATGTCAGGCACTCAGTAAACACGGAACAAAAGAGTAGTTGAGATAGTACGGGCAGGAATATGCCACATCTGGATCAAGGTGGTTAAGTGACCACATGCATCTGTAAGAACCTGCAAGATGGTAAGCTTTCTTTTTCGTTTTTTTAAGATATTTATTTATTTATTTATTTATTTATTCATGAGAGAGAGAGAGAGAGAGAGAGAGAGAGAGAGAGAGAGAGGCAGAGACACAGGCAGAGGGAGAAGCAGGCTCCACGCAGGGAGCCCGGCGCGGGACTCGATCCCGGGACTCCAGGATCACGCCCTGGGCCGAAGGCAGGCGCTAAACCACTGAGCCACCCAGGGATCCCCGATGGTAAGCTTTCTAGGGTAAATTATGCCTTAGTGTCGTTTTTTGTTTTTTGAAGGGGAAAAAAAGTGGTATGGGAGCACATGGGAACGTGAAACGTAGCATCACCTCTCTTATGAAACAAGCCAGTCGATTCCAAACAGGAAACTGGTCTCCTCGGAAACTAAAGAGAAATAGGCTCAGGCTGGAGGGTCAGAAGCGATGCACAGGCTGAGCCGGGTTGTGGGAAACCGGGGAAGTCATCTGACTCTTCTGCGTTTCACTTCCCCCAGCTGTGAAATGTGTAAAATGAAAACACCTACCTCCCACGGTTTGGGGAGACTGCAATGAGAAAATATACATAAAATATTCAGCACCTGGCAAGCACCGAGTAGATGGTGAAGGGAATTAAAACACAAGCTCATCTTTTAATCAAGCCCTTCTTCTGAGCTCCTCCAGCTGGGAATGAGGGGGTTCCATTTCTCTACCACCCTCTAAACAGTTGGCAAAGGGGTGGTCAAGCAAAGCTACCAGATTAGACATAACTCTAAGCTCGCTGGAGTAAGGGGAATGGGGAAACGCAGTGCATGTTTCCAGAAAAACCTGAAGTTTTGCCAGAAGCAAAATTCCCACGACATAAACTTTTAAGCAAGTTCCCAAATATCTAGCGCAGACACGAGAGCAAAAACGAACTGGTCAATGAAATGATTTATCCTGGCAAACTTCCCTGAGTGAACACAAGTACAGTCTACATAAAAAAGGAGAGAGAAATGAAATAAAGAAAACTGCTACCCTGCAAACCAAAAGTAATTAATTTTCTGAATGGAGGCTACTTCTTATTTGGGGAGAAAAAGCGTGAATCTTTTCTATTCCTGGTTACATTTGTTTTCAGAGAATAAACAGACCAAGCTGAGAGTCACAACATTTTGGATTCTACTGATTCCATACTCAGGATAAACTGAGCAATTAATCCTTGCAAAGGAATTGGGTATGATTTGTAACTAATGTGTTCCTTAAAGCAGTGAGATGTGACCTCAAAGTTCGGAATCGGATTCATTACATATTTTATAACGTGTGAACACTTGAATCTAGTGTACCTTGTAAGGCTGTAACTTACTTCATTCAAAGATCCTGAATTCTCATGAGCCGAGAAAAACTATTCCTTTAAAGCTCTTAAAACACCTACTTCTCCTCTATGACTCAGCTAAGCCTCCTTACAGGAAAGTCACCGCATGCAGTTTTTTCCTATTACCTGTTCGGTGGGTCAAGATTAAATAATGACAGCGTTGTGCTGCCATTATAGTAGTTCTCCACCTACCAGGAAACCTCTCCATTATTCTAGAGAAGGTCCAAATTCACTTGGGGAGTGATCTTGGAGTCATCTTCAATTTCTGCCTCTCTGACCGAGCATCTCCTTCAGCTGAGTAACATTCAATGTTGTCTAACTCATGCAATTTCAAGAAATACTATTAGGTTGGGTGTCAGAAATCAAGTCCACAGTAAAGACCTGTTAATAATCCAGAAACTTTACTGACATCTAGATGTCAAACTTGGCTCAGGAGCTGTCAAAGTATGGACTGGCACCAACAGCATCACCATGTCCTAGGAATTTATTAGACGAGATTCTCAGGCCCCGCCCCAGATCTACTGAATCAGCAGCTCTTTGGAATGGGCCCCTAAATCTGTGTTTTAATAAGTTTTCCTGGTGATTCTGATGCTTACTCAAGTGTGAGAACTGTGATCTAGCTAGTTGTGGCAAAGACAGTTGAGGCCACAGGCCAATCTTGATAGAATCACCCAAACAGATGAACCCACAAATATATTTAATCCCCACCCACCTAAAAACACCCATTTTGTTCCTCTTTAGTCTCCAGGGATCCCTGCTATTTGGAAAGAAAGGATTTCTTTCAGTCCAAATGATTTAATAATAATTTTTTTTTTCTGGAGAGTTATTAGAAAACTGGTCCAGTTCAAAACATGAGGATATTCTAACACAGAGAGTGGTGTGGTCACTAACTGCTAACTCTTTCTTAATTGCTAACAATGAACACTTCAGCTTGTTCCAGGATAATGGTTAAGAACGGCAGCCTATCATTCATTCAAACTGGATTGGAGCCGTGACCCTGCACAGCGAGCGCTTCTCAGTTGACAGACCTTTCCTGAGCATCTGTAACATGTGCTGGGCCACGTGATTGGCCCCGAGGACTCTGAAGACAAGCAATGACTATACCCACAGATACTACAGTAGATGTTGAGGGAAAAATAATTGAAACGGAGGTTGCATATTTTATTTGTAGATAATACGCTTCAGTTTTTCCAAGACATATTATCCTGAAATCGAGATACTCATCCAGTGTGAGGTTGACAAAGCCCCTAAGTCAACGTGTGGGCAACAATGTAAGAGGTCAACTTTGTTCAAATGGGAAGAGATACAAAAGCTGTCACCTGTCAGTCACAGAAAGAGAGTACAATGCGAGTTCTAACACAGGCTTACCTTCACTATCATTACATAAACTTAATGTGATACACTTAAGCCATTAGTTTGATTCTTTACAGTTAATTTTTACATCATCAAAGCCTTAAAGACAACATCCAATAAACCAAAATCTGTATAACCGAAAATATTAGGTTACAAATAATGCTTTATTGGGAAAAACCTTTGTAAACCACGGAATATTGGAATGGGGTATCTGTCACTGAGCCACAAAAAGGAACGAAGTACTGATACAGCTTACGGCATGGATGAGCTCTGAAGACATTATGCTAAGTGAACGAAGCCAGGAACCAAAGGCCACGTATTGTATGAATCTATTTATATGAAATGCTCAATAGGCCAATTTACAAAAAAGAGAAAGTAGCTTGGTGGTTGCTAGGGCTGGGGTCAGAGAGAATAAGGAATGAGTATTAACGGAGTTTCTTTTGTGGGTGATTATAATGTCCTGCGATTAGATAGTGGTGGTGGTTGAACAACCTTGTCAGTAGATTAAAACTCACTGAATCGTACACTTTAAAAAGACGGACTGTGTACTATGCAATCTATGCCCCAATGTATTCAAAGCAGCGGTCTGGACGGCATACAAAGCAATATTCTCCGGTTTATTTCTGGACTACAGAGAGATTCACTTTAAATAATCCAAGTACCAAAAGGATCTGGGTTTCTTGTTAAAACAGATCTATTAACAGAAATGTAAATTCAACAGGTGTATATTTGATGAGCACAGCACTTTAAAAAAATTTCTACCCCCCTCCTTCCAGATTCAACTCTGCGGTTTTAGGGAAAACCAGGACCAGATTCTCCTGCGAGTCTTCAGCCTCAACCTTGTGTATCACATCACCCCCGAGTATTCTTGTAAAAAGCTTTCGGAATTTAAACTGCTTCCCTGTATCTGGAGATGGGAGCCATCGGCAATCATCACCACGTTCAAAACGTTAATTCTCATTAATTAGACCATGAAAATGATGTCTCTTTGTAAAGGTCACGGTGCCAAGAGCAGCACCGTCCATTCTCAAAATGTAGGTTAATATGTACTTTATAGGAATAATCTAAAACGTTAGGACATGGGATGCTTTCATTGAAAAGAGTGAAATATGTGTATATTCGCAAGTGGAGGCACAGTTTCCAAACTTTCAGCTTAATACCTCCCAACCTATGATATAGTCCATCGTAACAGAAAATCATTACGAAGGAAAATTTTTTTTTTGAAAAAAAAGGGTAAAAATCCAATCTTACAATTCTTCTGGGAAACGCCTGGCCCTCTGGAATCTGCATGGCAGGTAAATAATTCCAACTGGCTGCTGCAAAATGCGATCCCAGGACTGAATGCATGACCTGGAGGGGGGGCGGATGAGGGACGCATCCCTGAACCCGTACATCAACCTGAGGCTGCCCTGCAGAGAGATTCTGATAGAAAACTTTTTTTTTTCTTTTACAGGATGGCCCAGGCTTGATGGCGACTAGGTTAGAGGCAGGGGAGCCGGGCAGGTCGGGCTGGGGCTTGTTCCCGCGGCTGCCTGGGCGCGTGCGGCTCGCGGCGGGCACGTGTGTCTCCGCGGCAGCGCTCGTGCGCCTGCGGCCCCGCGCGCCCCTAACCCGCGTCCCTAACCCGCGCCCCCAATCCGCGCCCCTAACCCGCGCCCCCAACCCGAGCCCCTAACCCGCGCCCCCAACCCGCGCCCCCAACCCGCGCCCCCAACCCGCGCCCCCAACCCGCGCCCCTAACCCGCGCCAACCCGCGCCCCTAACCCGCGTCCCTAACCCGCGCCCTAGTCCCCAACCCGCGTCCCCAACCCGCGTCCCCAACCCGCGCCCCCAACCCGCGCCCCTAACCCGCGCCCCCAACCCGCGCCCCTAACCCGCGTCCCCAACCCGCGCCCCCAACCCGCGCCCTAGTCCCCAACCCGCGTCCCCAACCCGCGTCCCTAACCCGCGCCCCCAACCCGCGTCCCTAACCCGCGTCCCTAACCCGCCTGGGCGCCCGGGGGCCGCACGCTCTGCCGCGGAGCCTTGGCGCGGACGGCGGGGGACACCCGGCGCCCCCGACCCGGCCTCCTCCTCCCTGCCCCCCCCCCCGCGCCCCGCGCCCCGCGCCCCGCGCCGGGGCCGCGCACTCACCGAGGCGGCAGACGCCGAGCAGCTGGAGCCACGCGAGGAGGCGCCTGAGGACGAGCATGTCCACGCGGGCCGGGCCCCCACGGGCCTCCGGGCGGGCACGGCGGGCGAGGGAAGGGCTTCCTCCTCCGGGGCACACGCAGCGCGTCCGGGCGCCGGCGGGGCTCCGAGGCAGGGGCCGCTCCGCGAGGCTCCCCGCGCCGCGTGCAGGTGGGAGCTCGGCCGCCGCGTCTGCTGCTCCCGGCGCCGCGCTGCCTGCTGGCGGGGGCGGGGGCGGGGGCGCGCTCGGGCGGGCGGGGGCGGGGGCGCGCGGGGGCGGGGGCGCGGCTGGGCTCGGGTCCGGGGGATGCGGGGCGGGGCGGGGCGGGGCGCGCGGGAGGGGCGGGGGCGCGCGGGGGGCGGGGCGCGCGGGGCGCGGCTCTGGCTCAGGGTCGGAGGGCGCGGGGTCGGGGGCACCGGGGGCGCGGAGGCGCGGCTGACCTCGGGGTCCGGGGGCGCGGATGTGCTCGGGGTCCGGGACGCGGGGGCGCGGCTGAGCCTTGGGGTCCGGGGGGCGCGGGGTCGGGGTCCGGGGGTGCAGCTGTGGCTCGGGGTCGGGGGCACGGCTGAGCTCAGGTCTCGGGGCGCGGGGGCGCGGCTGAGCCTTGGGGTCCGGGGGGCGCGGGGTCGGGGTCCGGGGGTGCAGTCGTGGCGCGGGGTCGGGGGCGCGGTTGTGGCCCGGCCCGGGGGCGCTGCTGGGCGCGGGGGCGCGGCTGAGCTCAGGTCCCGGGGCGCGGGGGCGCGGCTGAGCCTTGGGGTCCGGGGGGCGCGGGGTCGGGGTCCGGGGGTGCAGCTGTGGCTCGGGGTCGGGGGCGCGGCTGAGCTCAGGTCTCGGGGCGCGGGGGCGCGGCTGAGCCTTGGGGTCCGGGGGGCGCGGGGTCGGGGTCCGGGGGTGCAGCTGTGGCTCGGGGTCGGGGGCGCGGCTGAGCTCAGGTCTCGGGGCGCGGGGTCGCGGCTGAGCCTTGGGGTCCAGGGGGCGCGGGGTCGGGGTCCGGGGGTGCAGTCGTGGCGCGGGGTCGGGGGCGCGGTTGTGGCCCGGCCCGGGGGCGCTGCTGGGCGCGGGGGCGCGGCTGAGCTCAGGTCCCGGGGCGCGCGGTCCGGGGTCCGGGGGCGCGGCTGGGCTCGGGGTCGGGCCCCGCGGGCCTTGTCCCCTCCCTGCGGGCGGACCCGCTGCGGGTCAGAATCTCCGCGCCGACGAGGTGGGTCCGCGGCCCGCGCCCCGGGGGAGGGGGGAGGGGAAAGAGGGGAGGGGGCGGCCCGGCCCCATTGTCCCGCGCAGCGGGAGGCTGACCTCTAGCGTGACCCCTGGAAGCGTCCCGGGTTCTTGCCCGACCAGTAGGTGCCGGCTGGGCTCCCCTCTCGGTTTCCTTCCCTTTTACCAAACCAGCAAGGGGGCCGCAAGGCCGTCGCCTGCAGGGGCCCGTGAGGCCTGGAGGACCTTCCCGCTGGGCGGGTCCCCGTCGGGTCCGCGGCCGCTGCCGGCGCGTCGGCCGGTCCGGGAAAGGCGGCCGGGTCGCGGCCCCGAGGGTGCAGAGGCCTCGTGCACGGTGCTGGGCGGCCCTGGCGGCCGAGGTCACGCCCCCGCGCCCCCGCGCCCCGCGGTCTCTGCGGCGGGACTGAACCCCTGGGGGCCGCAGCTTCCTCGCGCCCTGGGCCAACCGCGCTCGCGTGCAAAGGCGGGACTAGGAGTGGACCCTAAGGTCTGTTGAATTACCCCGAAGCCTAAATGAGAAGAGAAGGCACCTGGTATCCTCCAAGACCCTGACTGCACAGAGCCCTGAAAACCCGCGTGCTCTCTTCCAAGATTTCCACTTACACATTCTTTAGGCAAAAGTACATTTTTTCTACTTAGGTGACACCCAGTTGGAGCAGGGAAGTCAAGTTCTGGAATCATCCCCTTTATCCTTAGGAACCAGTTGATGCAGGTGACCTGTACTGTGTGTATTCCCGTGTCCTGCTCTTGGTTCTAAAATGGCATTTCAGCCTAAATATTTAAAGAAAGCTTTTCGCATTCAAAATTGGGTTCTGAATGTATTTTGACGATTACCATCAGTTCTCGCTAACACACACGGCCTCCGAACACTCGTTTGACACGTGCAGAGCTACTGACGCAACCTGCTGTTGCTTCGGGAATTGATTACAGTCCTGTAATCACAAATCTCAAATCTACCTGGAATGTGTATTCAGGACTGCGCGAACATGTTCGGGAATTGATCTTGATCTTATTTTTTCCCACGAATGAGTACAGAGATGCTGTAGCTTTTGGAAGGGTTGCAACGGACAGTGCTGATGGCTCATGAGAGTTTCCACCCTGGGGGAACATTTTTGCCAGCATCCGCAGGAAGCGTAGATATAAACCAGAAACGCACTTAGAGCTTCGAGGGTGTTTAGCACGGGCTGGAGTCGGCAGAGGAGGTTTCCCAGAGGTGAGTCGTTAATCGAGGAGGACTAGCCAGGAAAAAATTGATGTGCGAGGAAGTGGAGATGGAAATGAAAAGCAGATGTCATGTGCTATAAAAACAATGTGAATTAAACTTGAGTAGATTTAGTGGAGTCAGTCTAGGGGAAACACTGATTTCCTAGTGGAGGAGCTTGTACCTGCAATAGTAAGCGAGAAAGAACCACAGAAGAAACTTCCAAGAACTTCAGCTGTTTGGAGGTTAGGTTTGCTCCAGGGCACGTATGGTGGTTCAGGAGGTCTCAGTGGTCAAGTCCACACCAGCAGCCTGCCAGAAGAATCCAACAGTAACAAATAACAAATATCCTGTCTCCCCTTACTTGGTAAAAAAAGTCACATCACTAGTCACTCTTTTGAGTTAGATGGCATAGCAAAGGCACCGCTGAGGTCGTGGTTACCCAGGTAGAAAGGGCAGGGAGGTCCTGTGGTTTCTGTTAATTCTGTTCTCATATTTAAAGAGATAGCTACGTACCTGGGGAGGCACAAAAGTCGTGTTGCGGAGTAGTCAGGTTGCTGTTAAGCTTTGTACAGGGAGAGGAATGGCAACTAATTCTATGCAACTGAGTGACAGCAATGGAAAATGGACCCAGAGGACCAGCCAGCGTGGATCTGATAGTCCTGGGGCACAGCTCTGGAGGTTCAGGTCCTTAGAAAACCAGGTCATTGCAGCAGTCCAGGTGTGGGAGAAGAGAAGGTGTCAGAAGGGCAGGGACCAATAGACATGCCGTATCTCACATTTCACGATTTTATGGGGGGTCATGACCATATCTGAGACGTGTTATCACACATCATCGTCAATACACATTAGACATTGTGAGTTAAAGGTATAAACCTGTAAAACCACATGGTTTCATTTGAGTCTAAACTTATGTATCTTTTTATCTACCTATTTGTCCACCTATCAATAGATAAAAATAGAAAGAGATCTATATTCTATGAGTTTTTGGTATATTTATATTTTTAAAAATATAAATTTTTTTATTTTTAATTTATTTTTATTTATTTTTTATGAATATTTATAGATATTTTTATTATTTTTAATAATATAAATATTTTATATTTTGTGTGTGTGTTTTGCTAAAGTTTAATTACGTTATGTGCCAATCACTTTTCAGTCCTGAGAGTTTGTACGGAATTCTGCACATTCCTGGAACAATACTTTCTACCCGGCCCCCGCCAAACAATAATAAGACAGGATACGATCAATAGACATCTTGCTTTTTTTGGGGGGTCTCATCTGGGATTTTACAGTGACTTGTGTCCAAGTTACCAGAGACTTGTTGAGCGCTTCAGTTTTCACCATACACTCCCTAATCCCCCAATATTTGTATAAAGATGTGCATCTTCCAACGGGTCTCCATCTCGGTTTTCAGCCAGAGCCATGGTTTCCTCAGGCGTAACCTAAGTTGCGACTGGGCATCCAGAGGTCGCACGCACAAGAAGGTTGTGCCCATTTCCATTGACGGCAGAGCCACCGCTGGAACTGGAAAGAGAGTAACAGATGTGCTGCTTCTGGTACCAGTCGGCCAAAGGGGTAACCCTGGTGGTGCTGAACCTCTAGCTTCACTCTTTGACAGTACCAGTCACAGTTATTTTGTTGAGCTACACCAACAAAAATAAGCAATAAAGTAAATATTTCTATGTATATTAGCTCTTTAAAAGTCATCCTTTCCATTCATTCATTCATTCATTCATTCATTCGATATATTGATATATTTTTATTATGTATCTATTATATGTCAGACAGTGCTGTAGGGGCTGCCTGTTCAAATATGAATTACTCCGCCCCAACGGTAAGGGAACAAGGGAACGCACCAGCTAGTAGGAGGGAAAGACCTTGCTATTACAAAATGTCCTGGAAGAGGATGCCAGATAAAATGCAGGATGCCCCGTGAAATCAGAACTTCAGATAAACGGTGAATAATTTTTTAGTATAAAATAATTTTAGTGCAGTATGATGCACTAAATTTACTGAATTTTTTTTTTGTATAATGAGTGATTTTTTTTTTTTAGCACAAAGTAGTATTTTAGTGCACTCCATGCAATGTTTGGAACACAGTTATATTAAAAAAAATTATCTGCAATTCAAACTCAACTCCGTGTCCTGCATTTTTATTTGCTGAAGCGGACCAACTCACTTTGTGTCTGGGTGTTGTCTGATGCGAGAGCTAAGCATTTGTGGTTGTGAGATGTCTGTGGTTTCCCATTAGTTTCCTTACTCCACAAATCACTTCCAAAGTATCTCTGATACAAATAAAGTTAGGGGCAGATGGAGGAAGGAGAGTATTTTCTCTGCAGAATCTGCTTAGCTCATAAATTCAAATTAGGGCTAGGAGACTACAAAATATTGTGCCCTCACTAAATAAAAAAAAAAAATGGAATTAAAGGGGAAGTAAAACGTCTCTACTTCTTCTGCTATGGCAGTAACAAGCTGTTCCTGTTTGGCTCACATACATTATTGCTCATTTTTATCCATTGTCTTTGACAAATACATTTGAGTAGACGTCATTAGGTTGGATTGCTTAAATATTTACAGTTTGTGAAAGTAATCATTACCTATTTAAAAGCAAAAGACAGCTGTTGGAATTATAAGATGTTTGCAAGACGCAGATCGTGTGACTTGAAACCCTGTATTTTAGACTGTGAGGATAGATTTGTCTCGTGTTTGGTACTCTGACAAATTTTGTTCACTCTGATTGACACAATGGCATCGACGTACGGCAACTTGTAGTGAAATCTCTGAAAAGAGTTGAGAAGGGATCCCTGGGTGGCGCAGCGGTTTGGCGCCTGCCTTTGGCCCAGGGATGCGATCCTGGAGACCCGGGATCGAATCCCACGTCGGGCTCCCAGTGCATGGGGCCTGCTTCTCCCTCTGCCTGTGTCTCTGCCTCTCTCTCTCTGTGACTATCATAAATAAATAAATTAAAAATAAAAAAAAAGAGTTGAGAATAATTTTACTTTCTACAACATAGTTAACCCTTTCATTTGGATTTGTCCAGCTAGTAACTTTCTGCCTGAAAAGCAGTTGTGTCCTACCTGCCCAAGGACCCTCAGGAGTTTAGTCAGAGATGGCCTGTTACTGTCTTTTCCTGGACATAAAACTGGTGGGAGGTTACTCAATGGTAAGTCCAGGGCGGAGTGTGATGTGGTGTTCGGAGTGCATTTGAAAGAAGCATAACTGTGGTTAAGAGAAAACCATGGCATATCACATATTTTGCCTTTTAGTGTCTTGGTATGTTCAACTCTAAAAGAATTTAGTTGTACTGTATGCAAGATATATAATTCAGTGATTAAAATTGTCTTAAAAAATACAAAAAGAAAAAAAATACAAAAAGGCAGGAATCTTTTTTTTTTTTTTTGTCCATGTCGGGAATATTTAGCATAGTACCAGATTCAGGATAATTCTTCCTCTGCATATTAGTAGAATAATCTTTTTTTCATATTTTACATATTTTCATTTTAAACTATTTTATTTTTTTTCATTTTAAACTATTTTAAAATAGTTTTTAACTATTTAAAACTAAACTATTAAACTATTTGAACTATTAGTTTATTGAATTATTAAATTAAATAATGTTAAATTATTAAATTATTTTAATAAATTAAACAAGGTTAAACTATTCAAACTATTAAATAGTTTATTTTAAACTATTTTAAAATGAAAATAATGGTCAAAGCATAACCATACATTTGAAAACTATTTGTGGATGAATATTGCTGAAATCTAAGTCAGAAATGTGCTACATGCCTAATTGTTGGTTATGTTAAGATAATTGCTGGGTGCACCAAGAGAATTGTATTTTATTTTGTTTTCAAGATTTTATTTATTTATTTGAGAGAAAGAGACAAAGATAGAGCACGAGCAATGTGGAGGAGGCCAAGGGAGAGAAAGTAGACTCGGGTTCTCGGAGAAAGACGCTGAGCAGGGAGCCTAACGCAGGACTCGATCCAGGACCCCGAGATCATGACCTGAGCTGAAGGCAGATGTTTAACTGACTGAGCCCCGGGGGCCCCAAGAATTACATCCCTTAGTAGAGGTGATGCCTCTTCTACATCGTGCTGGTCGTAAGGTAATGACTGATATTTCAACATCTACAAATCTGGCTCCCTTCTCCCTACCTCACAACCATCTCTGTTATGACACAGAACAATCATATTTTTCTTCTACCCCAACAACAGGATGGGAGTGACTCCGTCACTCAGATACGTTCCAAGGGAACGTGTCCTCAAATTCGTATTGCGTTACAAAGACCCACAGGGCCATATTTAGGTTTAGTAAACCCAAATGCTACTTTCACTTCATTGCCGTTTAAAGGTGAAAACACATTTCTCCCTCTTCTACCAGAGACAAGCTCGGGATTTCGAGTCTTCCAACCAGCTTAATTTAAAATCAATATTTGTCTGCTCTCTAGGTCTTTGAAAAATGTCCAAGATGATGTTGGAGTAGAAAGCAAACGTGTAAAACAAGTCCTGCAAATCAGAAAATCAGCCCTGGACTCGGTCATTCAAATGAGCTGCTATATTTCAAATGCATAAACATTTCTGATAACTGGCCATTTAGCTGTTTCCTGCCTATCTCCAGCCAAAAATAATGTAAAACAACTCAAAATGATCCGTTGTGCTTTTGACGTTAAAAAACACTTTGTTCATCTTTATTTTTAGCCAAACTATGATCTCTGTATAACTGCCCTCCATTGATTGATTTTAGGGACCCAGCACAAATCTCTTCCCTTCCCTCGTAGAAAGAAATTCTGCTTTCTGCTAATACCAAATAATGAGATTTACCTTCTCTTGCCAAACTTGATCTGAACCCTAAGCTTTTCTGGAGCCGATGATCCATCATTTCTTTGGATTGCTCTCTCCCAATTTATTCTTCTCACCAAACTATTAAAATATTTTTTTCCAGTAAAAAAAAAAACCCAAAACACAAACTTCTCTTGACCACATATCTCACTATATAATTGTAGTACCAGGTGTGTCTTCTTTCTTGATTTTCTTGTAAGAATAGACCATAACCATCATCTTCATTTCCTTACTTTTCGGTTTCTCTCAAAGCACTAGCATTAGGCTTCTGCCTTCCTGACTCCATTTACAGTGGTCTTTAAAAGGTAAAAAATCACACTCTAATAGCCTTGCAAGTACAGTGCACCCGAAAGTAAAAACTCATCATTCCTCCCCAGGTGGTATTTTCTAGAACCTACAAAACCCGAGAAGTCTTCCTTACCCCTCCAATGTAATCAGTCACCAAGTTCCAAACTCACTCTTAAATCCCATTCTGTTTCTATCATGATTTCTTCACATAATCAGTGGGCCTGGCATATATTCAGTGATTAATACATGTTTAAATATATGAACTAATTCATGGAAAAAGGGCAGCTCTCCGGCCAGTTCTAGCAGCTACTTCTCTCGCCTGCTTCTTTTTTTTTAATATAAATTTATTTTTTGTTGGTGTTCAATTTGCCAAGATATAGCATAACACCCAGTGCTCATCCCATCAAGTGCCCCCCTCAGTGCCCATCACCCAGTCACCCCAACCTCCCGCCCACCTCCCTTTCCACCACCCCTAGTTCGTTTCCCAGAGTTAGGAGTCTCTCATGGTCTCTCGCCTGCTTCTAACAAGTTTCCAGAGAGCTCCTGGAGTCCTCTTGTCAGTTCCTGGTCGCCAACCTAGATCTTCAGACTAAGGAGCCATCTTCTTCCCCTTATTAACGGACTTAGACTATTGGCCTTGACCTAGAACTTACGAGGTAGTTTTGTTCCTCAACTGACAGCATGCCTGGAAGGCTTAGAACACGTCCAGTGCATTCCTGGCCTGGTGTGACCTTGTCCTCTCCTCCTCCTGCACAATGAACTCCTCCTCGACCGCTTCCATTCAGGCCAAAGACTGGCCAGGCCGCGGAACTTCAAATTTCCCCCGATGTTTCCAGTAGCAGTATTTGGCCTTCAGTTATTTCAAGTTTGGGGAGTGAAGGACAATCTGTATTTCTGGGCTGTTGCAAAACCCTGACGTTTTGCCGTTGGCTGTTCCTGATAACCATCCACGTTTCCTTAGGTTATTTCTAGACAGCTTCTTCTGTTCCTTAAGGAAGGCAGAGCAGCTGAGGAGGCCCGTGGCCCCAGAGCCTCCCCTCATTACTCTCATAGGAAAGGATACAACTCAAGCGGATGCGGTGCAGTTGAGAAGCGGGTATGCACATAAATCGGGGTCCCCAGAAACTAGGATCACGCCTCTGCTGGATCTCCTTTTACCACGGTAGCGATGAGAGCCGCACACACACCTATTAGGTGGCAAGTGTTGCTCTAGAGGGTGCTAGAAGGTGGAGGCCTGTTTAATCCTCCAGCAAATGATGTGTGTGACATTGCCATCTTCCCAATCTCATAAAAAAGAAACAACAAAAACCGAGGCAAGATTATGCGTCCGATCACATAGATTGCAGGTGGCAGAGCTTGGGCGTGAAGCCGTGTGCTTCATTATGACTCGGCAGGGCCTCTCCCTGAAGACAGACCTCAGACAGGGGCCTTACGGTCGGAAACACGTCCCTACTCTGCCCTCCTGGTACATGCTACACTTTACAGGTCCCAAGTCACATGTCAGTGATAGGGACAATGTGTGATGCGACACATAAATGCCCACCCGGGACTTCTGATGTGCTGGCTGCCCAAGAAGACTCCCACTGGCCCGAGATGAGTACGCTGCCCCCCTCATGGGCGGTCTCTGTCTCTGCACTGTCAGCTCCCATCACCAACCACGGAGGTGACCCCTGACGTTAGGTCCTGGGCCGCGTCATTGCCTCGCTTAGTCTTGCAGAGGCATCTCATCATCTCACGTCATCACGAGAAGGGGAGGGGAGCACAGCACGACAAGCTATGGTAAGAGAGTGAGACCGTATTCACATGACTCTCATTGCAGCCTGTCGTTATAATTGTCCTATTTTATTATTACTTACTGTTGTTTCGCTCTCGTGATAAACTCTATCATAGGTCTGTGTGTGTAGAGAAGAGCGTTGTGTGTGCAGGGTTCAGCCATCTCCAGGCCCAGTAGGAGCCTTGGGCCTATCCCCACGGGTAAGGGGGGACTGCCCGACTGGCTTGTGGTCCCGTCGGTTACCTAGTATTTGAAACTAATCCCTGCAAAGATTTGGGAAATGACTACAGGGGAGTTGAGCAAAAGGAGACATTAAAGCAGAGAACCGGGGATATCATCTGGAACTTTCTTTTCTTCCCTGAGGCCGCTGGCACCTGGTAAACTTCCAGAATCTTATCAGAAAGCAGGTAATGACAGTAATAGTTATCCTCTCGACCGCTCGCCCTATGCTGACTCTCTTGCCTCAGTGGCTTGGGGCGTTCTCAGACCCCACAAAGGAGACGCATCCTTCCCTTATTTTGCAGGGGTTTTCCGAGGCTGCGAGAGTTTCCTGTTACTCAGAATCCAAGAGGTTGTGGTGGCGGAACTGGGATGAAGAGCTGCATTTCTCTGGTTTCAGCCGTGTGCTCTCTCCATAGACGGGCCTTGAGTTGTGAGTCACAGGAGGGCACCACCTTATGGGCCAGGACCAGTGGGTCGGACCGAACGGACGCGCTCCCTGGTCGCTGTGTAGGTCACTCTCTGGGGCCTCGTCGCGTCTAGGCCTGCACCTCTTTGTACACGTGTATCTGACAAACTTAGGTTTGAAGGTTGATCAAGCACATTGAGTAATGGAAGAAATGCCCAAGGATAGATGCTTTTGTCATTCATACGCGTGATGCTTGGGCGTTCAGGCTGCCGTGTGACATGTGCCTCCCTCAGACCTTGTTATGACCTTGGCAGATCACCAGTCTGAGGTGGAGAAAGAAGGAAAGAAAGAAGGAAAGGGAAATAAGAAAGAAGAAAGAAAAGAAAGAAAGAAAGAAAGAAAGAAAGAAAGAAAGAAAAGGAAGAAAGAAAGAAAGAAAGAAAGAAAGAAAGAAAGAAAGGGAAGAAGGAAAGAAAGGGAAGAAGGGAAGAACGGGAAGAAGGAAAGAAAGGGAGGAAAGAAAGAAAGAGAAGGAGGAAAGAAAAAGAAAGAAATAAAGAGAAGAAGGAAAGAAAAAGAAAGGGAAGAAGGAAAGAAGGAGGAAAGAAAGGGAAGAAGGAAAGAAAAAGAAAGAAAGAAATGACCTAGGGTCGCCTCCTCTCTGCCCCCTTAAAGCCCACGACCACTGGTCCACCTCGGTGCCTGGTTACCTTACGGTCCATCAGCGGGAATCTCTGGGAGGTGATACCAGCAAGACAGCTGAAGTCCGTCCACCTCTGCGTTGTCCGAGCCGTCCCTCGGTGTCACATGGTGCTAAGAATGGCTGGTTCTCCGAGGATTTCCACACCCGAATCCCTGGAATCTATGAATATGTCATGTTATATGACAAAGGGAAATCGAGGTTGCAGACACCAGTAAGGTTGCTCATCCCAAGGGACCCGGAAGGGGAGATTATGCTGACCTAGAGTCAAGGTCCGATGTAACCACAGGGGTCCCGAAGAGCGGAGGAGTGCGGCCCACGGCTCCGTGAGGGTGGTGCGATGTGAGGCCTTACCTGCTGTCACTAGCTACGAACCCAGGAAGAGAAGGTTATAGCCAGGGAGTGTGAATAGCTTCTAGAAGCTGGAAAAGGCAGAGGAAAGGGTTCTCTCCCAGAGCCTTCAGGAGAGAATAGATTCGTGCCTACTGACACCTTGACGTTAGGCCAGAGACACCCGTGTCAGAATTCTGACCCACGGAACTATAAAATCCTAAATCACAATGTAAGTCTGTCTCAAAGCACTAAACTTGTGATTTGTTGGGAGAGCTAGACGACGAGCGCACGGGGCCACCCTGGTGTCCCTCCGTGCCAGGGCCGCGCTGCCCCCGCCGGCCTCGTCCTCACTGTGGCCAACCCAGGCGAGCAGCTGCACAGCCGTGTGGACGTCTACACGGGGACATGACAACTTCCCTTCCTATAAGCAGGGGCTTTCTTTGAACTTTTACGTGTATTTTTTCCCCTCAAGTGTACCCAAAGAGAGCAAACGCTTTATAAAGCTCTTTGCAAGACACGCAGCAGCCTCTTGCCGTCCGTCCCCTGCACCTCTTCCTCCTCCAGAGGCAGCCGACACTCATCCAGTGGCTGCCTCTTGGTAGTCAGACCTCTAAGTGCCGTGCTTGGACGTGATACTTCTTGATCCTTCCCTATCTGTCGACTTCCCCTAATGGCAAACTTGACTATACTTTACCTACATCTTTGCCCACCACACGTAAACTTTCCTCCCTCCCGTCTTCCCAGGAGGGCCGTGTTATGATTTTGTCTTTTTTTTTTATGATTTTGTCTTAATCACTCTTAAGAATTTACAGTGCTATGACCATGTAAACAGGCAGGCAGTGTACTGTGATTCTTGTCTTGTAACATACATCATCTCTGGAATGAAAATCGTCTTTTCTGTTTATTTTTTTGATTTTCCATATCCACATTACACTTCCGCCTCAAGTTTTTGCCAAATAATATAAATCCTCCACCAATACTTTTAGGCACAACAGGTGTTCTATTTTTAGTATTTTTGGAGAAAATGCCACCAAGGTCTGATGGCCTTCGATCTGGGCGGGGTGCTTCTCGGTCCCTGCAAGCCATTCCCCCTGGGATCTCCTTTTGGGGTCTTCCTGAAGATTCTTGCCACCTTTGGCTTGTTGCCGGATCTTTTTGCAGTGTCCAGCACTGAGAAAGTGTGTTCAGGAGGCAAATTGTGAGGATTTTGTTTATCTAACAACATCTCCACCTTTGTCTTGAATTGGTTTTGTCTGAGGGTTGTATTGAAAATAATTTTTGCTCAGGATTTTGAAGCAGTTGTTATATTCTCTTCAGCTGTCAACCATGTTGATGACAGGCTACCAAAGCCATTCATTTTTTTTTTCTTTTAAGTAATCCTTCACTCTCACCCATCTATCTCCAAATTTAGAAACTTTTGATTTTACTTTTCTTTCTTTCTTTTCTTTTCTTTTTCTTTTTCTTTTTTCTTTTTTTTTTGAATTGGAAAATAATGTGTCTTCTCCTGGTGTGGATCTATTTTGAGTCCATTGTCTTGGCACTCAGATCTTACAATTTGGAAATTTTTATTCTTCTGTTGGTAAAATATTTGAAGTATTTCCGATGATTTCCTCCCTTCCATATTCTTCTATTCTTCTGAATTCTCATTATTTGAATATTGAACCCCCTAAACTGACACTCTGCCATAGATTGAATATTGGTGTCTGTCCCAAAATTCATATGTTGCAATGTGATCTCCGATGTGATGGTATTTGGAGGTAGAGCCTTTGGGAGATGATTAGGTCATGAGCTTTCTTGGATGGGAATGGTGCCTTTCTAAGGGGCTGAAGAGACCAGAGTGCCCTGGTTCCCCATGGGAGGTTACAGTTGCAGAAGAGTGTGCTGTGCACCAGGATGCTAGGCCTCAGTACACACTGAATTGGCCGGTGCCCTGACCTTGGACTTTGTAGCCTCCAAAATTGTGAGAAATAAATTTCTGTTGCTTGTAAGCCTTCCAGTCTATGGCATTTGTTATTAGCAGCTCAAACAGACTAAGGCACTTGCTAAATTTTATTTTCCCTCTCCCCCTCCTTTCCTTCCTTCCTCCTTTCTTCCCTTTCTTCCTTGAGAGATCCTGCTTCCTACGAGATCTCAACTCCCTTCCAACGTGCCTATTGAGTTTACTGTTGCTCTTACCATAGTTTTGATTTTCAAGGGCTCCTTTTGGTCTCTAAATGTACTTTAAAAGTAGTATCCTTTAACTGTTTCCTGAATGCTGCATTTTGCCATCTATTTTATCCTCTCCAGAGACTAAAACCTCCATTATCCACTGGGTTAGAGAAGATATAGTAACCTGAATATATGAAGTAAGTGAAAGGATCTAAGATTCTAACTTCTTAAACAGACTTTCAGCCAATCTGCTGTTTTAAAAACCATCTTTCCTTTACTTCCAGAGCATCTGGTGCTTCTAACTACTGGAGTGTTTTCAGGGATCAGCAATGCAAATTGGGTTGCTTATTGGCTTTCACCGCTGCCAGTTTGGGAAACAGCCCTCTCAGGGCTGGTAGATCTTTTAACATTCATTCGGATTTTCATATTCTGATTTTTCTCAATTTGTCTGCTTTTGCAATTGCTTTTTCGCTGTCTTCTTTGTTCTCATGATATCATTCCTTTTAAAAAATTATGTAAAAAGTTGATTAAGTAGGGTTTTTATAATAAGTAGGGATAAAGATATGTGTTTAGTTGATCATATTTAACATCTTTAATTGGGATGGGACCACACATTGTTATGAACAATTCACTTAGAATCATCCTCCCAATTCTAATCAACTGACTTTGTGGGGGGTGGGGGTGATGAGGATAGTACAAAGAAAGAAAACCCCCTGAACACAAACACTACTCTTCTTTGAGAATTGAGCACTCCCCCTGCCACTCCCCAGTTGGTGGTTGCAGACCTGTTTCTACAGCCTCATAGAAAATGTTGTGTTAAGGGTCTCATTCTAATTTTTGTTTTATTTTAGAGGTTTGCATTTAATTTTTGGCTTTGTATGTTAGTTAAAATTCTGAGAGGACAGGGAAAATTCCACTCAATATCCTCTTATATACTGTCCTGGTTTTTATTTCTTTCCTAAGAAGTCTTTTCTTTCCCAAGTTAAATTATAAGGTTGTTCTGGGTAATCAAACAGTTGATAGTTATTTTATTTGAATATCTTTCACCTGTGCCTTCTGATTATCTCATATCCTTGGCCTTAAACATAAGGATAGGAACAGATTTTTTTGTTGTTATGCCCCCACAAATTTATGCAGGTCTTCAAATGCCATTAATTCGGTGCCAAGAATGCATATGTCATCCTAAATGAAGATCTGATTAGGTATACTTCATAACACATGATTCTGTGTTTAAAGAGTAGAATTACTGAATTAGAATTTGTAGGGAAAATCTTTCTAGAAGACCTTCAATCAAATCAAATAGATCACACTACATTTTGAAGTATTTCATTTTTCTTTTCTACCTTTTGAAAATGTTTAATAGCTTAAAACAACTTTAGTACTCTTCTAATCCCGTGAGCATATACACACATACATCATAAATTCTCTGGACATAAGGTTAAATGGTATCATAATTGATGGTTTATAACTCTGTAAATCACTTCCCTTCTTAATGCTCTCTGATTCCATTTAAGGAACTCACCCTGGGACTGTGTTTATTTCTAGTAATAATAATTTTTATTCGTTGTCATTGTTCTTTTATATTATTCTATTATTATGAAGTAAATTCAAATGTGATTTCATTTTACTAGATGATGGAGAATAGGCTGTCGATCTATTAATTTTTACATGCAAGAATTTCTTATTTTTTCAATTTTTTTCCTGACAGTGTGGTACTGGCAGATTTTCCTCAGTGATAAGATTATCCAAAAGGTAACTCCATTGCTTCTGTGCCTGGTACCTGGAGTTCATTTTCACCCTTCTTGTTGATCTTATAAGCTTACTGCAGGTGTGATGTTGGTAGAAGAACGTTTACCTCATCTTGTGTATCTTACACATGCCTCTTGACAAAAGTTTTTACAAAAATTTAAATAGGTTAGAACTATTCTAATTCAATCATAGTAAAATAAAATAAAGTAAAATTGCACTGTACTGCCAAAAATTGATCTAGAGTGCTTACTTAGCAAGGTGAAGCTTCAATTTTTGTCAAAGGTGACGACTACATTTTGTAGGCCGCCAATCAGGAAAGAAACATAATGGGAGCAAGGGCTGGCTTTACCAGGAATTGAGCCATCTTGCCCAGTGCAAAAGGGAAAAATAAACTCCAGC